CTCCTGCTAGATCCTAAACTTAGTATACTGCCTTTGTTAATTATATTTTATCTTACTATATTCCAATTCTTTGAAAATAAGTATTACATGTCTGATACAGATCATAGCTTTATATTAATTACCTACTTAGGTAAAACAACCTTGTAGACATCTATTACCTGCTGACTTAATAGGAATCAGTGTTTCTAGGTCCATGTTTAACTATTATAAATCATTAAGATATATCATGAAAATTATACTTGGCCAGTTATCAGTGAACATGCCTTTTTGTCCCCTTTCTTACAGGAATCATGGGTAAAGAAGGAAGACAGGCTGCAAGAAACAGTGACTATGCAATAGCTAGATTTAAATTCCTCTCCAAATTGCTTCTTGTTCATGGTCATTTTTATTATATTAGAATAGCTACTCTTGTACAGTATTTTTTTTATAAGGTGAGTTTCACGTGGATACTTAGAATCAATTATTGACACAATAATCCAAAGTTTCAACTGAAGAAATGTTATAACCATATATATTTTCCTTAAAATAATTTCTTTAAGTAACATAACAGTAGTTTGTCATAAATCTAACCTATACCAAAGAAAGCAAATCTGTGCTTTCTTGGAGCCAAGGACTCAGGTGATAGAATTGTCTGGAAAGAGATGTAAATGACCTTTTTGGGTTGATAGAAAAGTTCTCTAGTTTTGTTTTAGTGGTAGTATGTAACTTTGTCAAAACACATCAGAATTTATAATTAAAATTGTTGGCTCAGCCCCTGTCGCTCAGTTGGTTCGAGCAACAATGACAACTATAACAACAAAAACAAACAAACAAAAAAAACCAGCTGGGTGTTGTGATGGGCACCTGTAGTCCCAGTCACTTGGGATGCTAAAGCAAGAGAATCACTTAAGCCCAAGTGTTTGAAGTTGCTGTGAGCTGTGATGCCATGGCACTTTATCAAGAGTGACATAGTAAGACTCTGTCTCAGAAAAAAAATAATAAAATAAAACTGTTTATATTTTACTCTATGCAAATTAGAACACAATAAATATGATTTCTTTGAAGTTATAGTATCCTGAACCAGTTTTAATTTAACTCTGATAGGGTGGTTTCAAGCAAAGGTTCTTAATCCTTTTTTGTGCCATTAATGACCCTTTGGTAGTCTAGTGAAATGTATGAGCTCATAAATATGAGAGTTTTATATGCATAAAATAAAATACATAAGATTACAAGGAAACTAATTATATTGAAACACTATTCTATCTCTGGATCCTTTTGAGGAGGGAGGAGGGTGGGAGTATGTAGAACCCACATTAAAAGCTCCTGCTACCAATGCATCTAATACCGCAATGTCATACGTTATGTATGTTCCTGTAAGTAATAGCTGCAGGCCAGTGAAAGAATATAAGTAATAGAGTACACAATTCTATGAGATGATGGTGACGGATTCCTTAACTTGTTTTTTTAATTTGTAAGATGAGTATATTGAGATGGATATTTTGACAGTTCTATTTATTGTGTTTTGAAGTATTTTTGTATTACAAAGCTATCATAGCCCTAAAGTTTAAGTAAATCTTACTATACTGTATACAAAAGAACTAATAGTAGTTGGAAGGTTGTAAAATCAAAATTATAGTATTGCTTGGCAAAGATAGGAGTCAAGGATATTTTTATTCCGATATCTGTACTGGTACATAAAGTACTTTTGACGTTTTTTTTAACAAAAAAGGAATCTTCCTTTCCTGTTTTATGTGGACAAGTCCTTATCCTCTATTTACCATATTAACTGAGATTGTGTTTATAGATACCTTAGTTGTCAATTAAAAAATTTTTTCTCTTTTCTACTTAAATATTTTAATTATTTCCTTTTTTGTGTTATTTTTCAGAATGTGTGCTTTATAACACCCCAATTTTTATATCAGTTCTACTGTTTGTTTTCCCAACAAGTAAGTAAATAGAAGCTTATCTTTTGTCATTTTAGAATAAAGTATATATGTTTGGATTTTGATAAACATTTGGAGAGACTTTTCTCATTTTTCTTAGTTCTACAAGTAACTAGACAAAACTTTTTTGCTTAGCATATTTAATCAGCATAACAGTCATGATATTTCTGGTTTTCAGTTTGAGGTAAGTATTAATATCAAAATATAGTTCTGGACAGTTTTTAAAAAGGTACTAAGTCTTGACAGCTTATGAGAGAATTTTCATCACTTTTTTCAACTTCTTTATGATGTTTCTATAGAATCTATATCAAGCCACGCCACATAATACTGAAAGTTTACCTAATTTTTATTTTTAGCTTAGGAATTTTTAGATTTGGAAGGACCCTTAGTGATTGAGTCCACAGATGACATACAGGTTTTATCTTAGAAGCTAGCTTGAAGTAGTTGATAGAGGTACCTGAAGTGCTATGTTGGAAAGGTTTCCAAAGCTGTAGACACAGAAGTAAAATGTTACAGTTTGTTAGCAGTGACTGTAATGGGCACAGAGTTGGGGGTTTATTGTACATGTTACATATTTGCAATTCCTGATCTACTCCATTTTATTTTGTAGAAAAATGAAAGTGAAATCCTCAGAGATTAAGTAACTTGCCTTAGCTAAAGTAATAACTAAACTATGACTTAGAGGCCAGGCATGGTGGTTCACATTTATAATCCCAGGTCTAGGTAGGCAGATTGCCTGAGCTCACAAGTTTGAGACCAGCCTGAGCAAGAGTGAGACCCCATCTCTAAAAATAGTTGG